GGACGGCTGGGGGAGAGGAGGGCCAGGGGGAGAGAGGGGCTGGGGAACTGGGGGGGGCTGGAGGAGAGGGAGGTCCAAGGGGGGAAGGGATGCTGCTGTGGAAGGGGGGTTTGGTGGGGCGAGGTCAATGGCCTCCCCGCATCCACACTCACTTATTTTCGTCGGATCTCCGTCGAAAAAGGGGTTCTTCCTCGTGCAATGAGGTTTATCGCTGTCGAAAGAAAAGCCGCGTTCTTTCGATTTAATTTTGAAAGAACGCAGCTGTAGTCTAGACGCAGGTGAAGTTTTTTCGAAAAAAGGCTACTTTTTTCGAAAAAAACCCTGAGTCTGGACACAGCCTATGTGAGCGCCTACACAGCAATTCCGTTATTTCAAAATAATTTCAAAATAGCAGTCGGCTTATTCTGACTTCTATAAATCTAATTCTATGAGGAATAGTGCCTATTCCTAAATAGTTATTTTGGAATAGGGGCTGTGTAGATGCTCCACCTCTGCTATTTCAAAATAGCCCCTCACAAGGGCTATTCTAAGTTATTCCTTCCAGGACTCTAACTTGAGATAGCATGTCTACATTAGGGAAGCCTGCCTTGGAATAATTTTGAGGCTTCCATGTAGTGTAAATGTGCTTTTTTGAAATAAGCTATTTCAAAATAACTGTTCCAGAATACCTTATTCTGAAATAACTGTGCAGTGTAGACGTAGCCTTTGTGAATTGTACTGGGTGTGAACTCTTTACTAATGAGCTCTAGATACGTTGCAAATATACTAACACTTTAGTGTATGGAAAAAAGTGGAGTAAGATACAATATATAACTATATAGTGTGCCACATAATCTAGAGGGAATATCAGTATATAGTGTGTACTTCAAAAATGGTACAGTGTTCTCTGATTTAGAAAAAAATGCTCTTATGAATGAATTAATTGTATTATGGGTCTTCTTTTCCATGTACCTCCTCTTTCTTCCAAGAACAATATTAAGGTATGGAAATACTGGTCATAATCCATAATTTAAAATATTCGTTAAGAATTCTGTCCTACAAAGGTATGATATCTTTTTAAAACACTTTAGAAATGAGAGCATTGTTTAGATGGTTAACTAGTAAAAAAAAAAATGCAATTAGGCCTAACTTAGCCTCCTGCTATGAGATTATTTCTGAACTGACAAGAAAACTGAGTTATTTCTAATTATGACTCTTCTATCTAGGCCATTAAAAATTCTAACTGTTTTCTCATGTGGTAATGTGTCAGCTTTGGTAGATAATACATTCTTAGACCAATCACTGCATGTGTTTTTTTTTTCTCAAATGTGAACTTTTAATATACAAAATAAATTGGGAGAAATATATTTCTCTACTGTTTTTCCTGATGGTGATAAGAATTAAAGAAATACAACCATGTTTGTATGGAGGGGGAAAATTTAAAAGAAAAAAAACCCACCACCTAAACACAATTTTAATACTTTACTTTGAAATGTATTATGTGCTTTATTACCACTGTAGGCTCTGGAGCTTTTTGTTACACAACCTGGGAATTTAGAGGTCTGATTTTGCCCACTTCAGGGCATCTAAAATATTTGCATGGATGCATTAGAATTATGTTGAAGATTACTAAGAAGATTTATTAAATTTGAATATATGCTTAGGAATATAATTCGTAGTCAATAATGTTCAAGAAATGTTCCCTAGTTCATACAATAGTCCATACACTTCTTGAAAGTTATGAAAATTAGACTTGATACTATATACCTTGTTTCATTTTTTCATTAAAAAGTTATTTAAATACTTTCATTAAATGTTTCATACGTTTGTATGTTAAAGGAAATTGTATTGGAAATGTAAATAATCCATTTGACACTGAAATAAAATAGAGACTAAGAATTTTAATTAAAAATACAATCTAACAGGGTTTGCCCTCCTCTTCTTTGAAATATAATTCAAATACTTCATTAAATTACAAATTATTTAGTTAAGGAGCATGCTTTCTGACAAGTGTATATACTCCTCTTTCATGTTGGATACAGTTTCTAAGGATATCAATGGCAAAACTTTGACTTCATGTTGGAAATACTGCTAGCTTAGAACAAGCTCACCCTTGTTACTTTACTCCATGGCCATCAAACATCTTGACACACGAAAGGAGATGTGACAAAGTCAGTCTATCGGTGGTACTTAGCAATGGTATAGGAACAGAGTCCTTTGTGCAAATGGCAAGCCTTCCCAATGGACAGATGAAAATTGAAGCATACTTTGCTTCTTGGCTTGCTCGCACTCCTTAGCCAGGGCTCTCTGATGGCTCTTCTCACTGACTGAACCATCTCTAAACTAGTTTCTCCAGACAGAGTGACTGTGGGTAAAATTTTCCTAGTTGTCAGTGGGAATGCTGAATTTCCTTTGATCTTGCTTGACCTTGTCACTGTAACAAAGCTTTGGCCTTTTTTTGAGTTGCTGCCAGTTATTAAGTTAGCCATAAAACACAGCCTTTGGCAAATGATCTTGAGCTATGTGCTCCATATGTCCCAACCAGTGAAGCCTATGAATATCCAGAAGAATCTGCATAGACTGTTAGTTAGTTCTCTCAAGGATTTAATCATCAGTGATCCATTGGTCCCAACTAACTCCAAAGATTTTTCTAAGACAGCAGAGATAGCTACTGTTCATTTTCCAATCCTGTTTGCAGTATGTAACCCAGCTTTCAACACCATAAAGGAAAGTACTTAAGGACACAAGATTGATAGATGGATTAGCAACTTGTTCCAAAGAAATTATTAAATTTTCCAAAACAGAAGCTTTCCAATTCTAGTCTTAAATTTTGTTTCAAGGGTAAGTGAGCTAGTAAGAATTGAGCCAAGATAGCAAAAGTTATCCAGAGCTTCATTATTAACATAGATTTTAGGTGAAATATTGGTATTTTGTGATTATTACGCTAAACTTGGTGCCTAAATCACAGAACCACCTACAAGTCATCAAATTGATTAGAAAGGCATGCAGCATTATTTGAGAAAAGCAGATGCTGAATATTGACATGTCTTCTGCTGTGCAGTAATCCAATATTAAACAAGCAGATGTCCATCTTCAATTCAATGAATACATCAGTTTGATTATTTCCAAAGGAATACTTAAGGGCTACGTCCAGATGCTGATCTTGCGGAAAATAAAGCCTTTTCCAAAATTATCCCTTATTTCATAGAGGGATAAGGTATCTTTCAGAAAAGGCTTTATTTTCCGCAAGATCAGCGTCTAGACTGGCGCTTTTATCCGGCAAAACTCCGTGCCGGAAAAAAGTGGCAGCCATTTTTATGCTAATGAAGCGGGGGAGATTTAAATCCCCTCTTCATTAGCAATTGCGATACGTCTAATTTGCATTCCTTTTATGAAAAAGGTATGCAGTCTAGACGTAGCCTTAGTGTCCAGAGAACGGGATAAAAAGCAAGCTGCGTCCTTGAGCACACGCCTGCTACCCTCCCTACCCTCCAAAAATTCTGCCCTTGCTTCA